TCCAAGGAGCAGCTGGTGGTTTGAACTGCTGACCTTGTGATACGTAGCCAGTGGTGATCCTGCAGTGCAACACCATCTCATAGAAATGATTGCTTCGGATTTCACCTTACAGGTTAGCTACAGCCTTCGTTTCAGGTATTCTTTAAGAAACACTCTTCCAACTACAAGACTTTTGGTGATTCCAAAAGAGGATTATGGCTGGAACACAGGTCATCTCTTTCCAATTTACCCATCATCAGGACCCAGAAATCCCCTGGAAGATGATGGGGGACCTCCTGGTGAGTAACACTTGCAAACATTTGTTGATTTACATTGATCACTTTAATATACTTACACATATTTTTTCATTTCATGAAAAAATATCTCTATTTAAATGATTTTGGAAGTATTAAATAGTTAACTGGTAATAATTTTGGGTGAGTGGTACAACTGGTTAAAAGTTGGACTTGTTACCTAAAGGCTGGAGGGTTGAGCCCCCTAGTGGGACCTCCAAAGAGAGACCCAACAACCTGTTTCAGAATGGTCCCACCCGTGAAGACCCTCCAAAGTACAGTTCTGTACTGACACACATCGGCTTACTGTGAGTTGGAATTAGCTTTGATGGTAACAGGCCAGGTTTTGGTTTTTATATATAACTCAGTATTTGAGTCAGGAGCCAAGAAAGAAATAATTTTCTTTTAAAAGGGAGGTAAGTTTGAAAGCCAATAAAGTAGTTTGCATTAACTCAAAACACTGTAACTTTAAGTGGTTTCTTGAATATAAATTGAAATGAGAGGCTTTTATTTGTAGGCTAACTAGATTCTGCTACTTTATATGAAATCTTCCACAACTCATATCACCCTGTGTTTCTGATTAGGGATAATACGGTCTGTTCAGTATATCCAATAGCAACATGTGACTGTTGAGCACTTGAAATGTAGCAAATGTATAAAATGAACTTCAGGTTTGAATATTTTCTATGAAAAGATATAAAAATCTTAATTTTTATACTAGCTACATGTTGCAATAATATTCTTATATATTGGGGTTTGTGAGAAATGTTGTTGATAACCGACAAACACTCAAGTAATTCAATCTGTACTCATTTTAGTGAGAGTGAGGATTTCTTTATTTGGATTTTGCAAAATCGG